TTCCAAGGTTACAGTAACAGAATCGTGCAAGTCTGAATGTGCTTCCCCCTCCCTCCCTTTATCTTTGTAAGAACTAGGGAGGGTCTTTTCTGAGAGGCTTTCTCAGATTACAGTTCTGCCCGGGACTCAGAGTTCTTTTATCTGTTGTCTTGCTTGCAGCTCTTCCTCCTGTTCCTCAAGGTTATTCCTTTTTTCCATTACAGATGGACAAACAGAGAGAGCGAGAGCGAGAGTGAGAGCGATACTGTAGATAGAGTCAGCCCTTCAAGGTAGGGCAGACTAGGAAACCAAAATCATGGAGGCCAATACTACTTTTATTACAATGTTACAGAATCTTGCAAGTCTGAATGCACTTCCCCCCTCCCTCCCTTTATCTTCATCAGAACTAGGGAGGGTCTTGTCCAAGATGCTTTCTCAGATTACAGTTCTGCCCCAGACTCAGACTTCTTTTAGCTGACTCTTGTCTTCACTGCAGCTCTTCCTCCTGTTATTCAAGGTTATTCCTTCTGCCCATTACAAATAGACAGACAGACAGAGAGAAAGATAGAGTAGATAGATCGCGTCACCCCTTCAAGGTAGGCCAAACATGGTCACCAAAGACATGCAAACTAATTCTACTTTTATTATATGTTTATAGTAACAGAATCTTGCAAGTCCGAATGTGCTTCCCCCTCCCTCCCTTTATCTTTGTAAGGGCTAGAGAGGATCTTGAGACGCTTTCTCAGATTACAATTCTGCCCGGGACTCAGGTTTCTTTTATCTGTTATCTTGGTTGCAGCTCTTCCTCTTGCTCCTCCAGGTTATTCCTCCCGCCCATTACAGAAACAGGGCTGGGGCCGTGGACTACCCTTTGCCATTGCAGTCTGGAGCTTTCAACAAACAGCAGCTTTGCTGAACCAGCTTAGAAGGGAAACTTGGATGCCTTTATCTGTACCAAGTTAACTTAAGGCCTGTCATGATTCACCAAAATGAGCTGTTCCTGACAATGGACAACATTTTGCTCCAAGCTCCTGGACACAGTTCTGGCCAGGTTTCTCTGGCTGTTGCTATTATTATCGTTATTGCTGCTGTTATTGTTGGTCGTACAGTCAGCCAGATATTTAGACTGGATTTAGCATTTTTGTCCACCTGTCGAGTCCTTCCCAAAGACCTGGATAGGCAGATGTTGTTTGATGGTGTTAAAGGTATGATAGCAGGATATGAGCTGTTCCAGGTAAAGCTGCCTTTTGCAATGGACCGATGATTTTGTCAGTGCCGATGGTTGACAGGATGTCTGAAGATCCAGATGTTTTGGGATTGCACCCAAGGTGCCTATTACTGTTGGTACTGTCTTCACTTTCTTTTGCCACAGTTGTTCTATTTCTATTTGCAGGTCTTTATCTTTTGTGATATTTCTAGATTTTGTGACTTTTATTATTAACCCCCAGTGAGGCACTACCTTCATGAGGTGGTGGGGCTTGCGTGCTCTGAGAAGGAGGAGAGCTATGCCAGAGGTTCAACCATACTGGACAGGTCTCATCAGAGGAGCCAGACGAAGAGTGTATCTCCCATAAATAATATGGTGAGACATAATTTACAGAAACCGGTACTGGATCGGTCGTCACCCAGGTCAACAAGGACCACGCTAGGTGTTCTAGTTCCTAGACATCTGGTGACAAGTGGGCTACAGCACTTAGGACTGTGGGCTGAGCATGATCTCCAGTTTGTCTTCCTCTTCCAGATCTTCGGAGGCAGATTGAGCAAGGAGATCTTCTTCAACCTTCTTTGTTCATCTTGCTGGTGCTCTGTTCTGTCATCCTCTACTTTGTTGTGTCTCTCATGAATCCAGGCTATGTCGAGGACAACGAGGATGAGAAGGTTGGTTGGTCGCTCGGGGAAAACCTGGGAATGCTTTGGGTGCTGTTGGATTTCAAAGGGTACGAAGTCGAAAGCCTTGATGGCTGCAAAGCATGGTGTAAAAGATTAAAGCAAACAGCTAAAAAAAGGTCTGTGTATTATATATATA